AAAAGTACAATATAAAAGCATATAAAAACCATCATAAAATTCGAACTCTCTGTTGCCATCTAGTAGTTATCTGAATTCTTGCAGCTCAGGTCTTCTAGCTCTAGTAGTGATACAACCAGCTGCTTGTGTGCTATTTCCCTAAGAACATCTTGTGTGTGCAAGACCATACTAGATTTGCTTTCTCAAACACAGCCACTTGCTATTTAACTGCGGATTAGTGTTGGGATGGAGAACCATATATATATATATTAATGAGATATATATATATATTAATGAGATATATATATATATTAATGAGTGTGTGCAAGCACCATACTAGATTTGCTTTCTCAAACACAGCCACTTGCTATTTAACTGCGGATTAGTGTTGGGATGGAGAACCCTCCTGAGCGGTTACTTTTGGGGCCTAAAGAGGTCTACTTATATCTTTACCTAGGGAAAATGTAATTTGTAAAATTATACCACAGCCAAGGCTTAGTAACATGTTCTTAGCTATTTTCTCGATGAATGTCTAAATTTTGTAGCTATTACAGAAACACAGTTTTAGAAATAAATACATGGGAAAACCTAGCCTGGCCAAAAACATATTTCAGCAGACTTGTGAGGAAAAGGACGTGAAATGGGATGACAATTAATTACAACCATGGTAGTTGGATTGAAAAGTCTGACCTGGCAGGTATGCCTTGCTGACAACTTTCCTCCTGTGAAAGCTTGACACAAATGTCAAGATCAATAAATTTTTCTCTAGGTGTGATTGGGGTGACTTTAAGTGGGAGGGTTGATGGGCAGAGGACTTCGGCATCTTAGGAATGTTTTTACCTCCAAAGGGTCAAGAAAAAGCAGAAATGCTGCAGAGCTCTCTGCTTAAGTTGCCACTTCTCTGATAGCAAGTTAAAGGCTTTTTAATCATTGTTTTAAAGTTCCCACAAAACGTAGCTAAATTTTAAGAAAAAAGGTTAAACCTATATGAGAAATGGAATACAGCAAATGTCTATTTACATTTATGAAGAAATGAGTGGGGAAAGTTTCTTAAAATTATCAAAGTAGGAGTTTTAAATATACTGGAAAACAGTGACCTCTCTAAAATGTATTTGCATTAGGATTTACCAGAAGAAAGAGAAAAAAAAAACTGGTTATGTTCAGCCAGATTCTATTCTAGGTTGTTTTCAGTTTGGTTTTTCTTTATTTATTGTTTCAAACAAACATAAACTTGTGAATCACTCTGAAGTCAGATGTATAAAATGGGTAGCAAATTATTTGATATGTACCACTGATGGAAGAATATTACGTAATGTAATTGACATGCAGTAGCAGTCTTCTCCTTTTTAAAGGACTTAACTATTATTACTCTTAGCTTTTTACTGTTTTCCTTGGACACTTGTATAAGCATGTATGGATACCAAATAAACACTAGTCTGTCACATAATCAGTTTGCTGACAGGAAATTATTTTGCATCAGTGTTTGCCCGGTTGCTATTTCTGTTTTGCTCGGATGATGACATCAAAATTCACAGGCCAGGTACAGGAAATAACATGGCTGGGCTGGATACTGCTTTGTAAATTAGACTGGAAAGTTCAACATAATTTGGGTCTCTGATTATGCTTACGTCAAAAACCCAGGCGTGCTTAATGAGCATTGCCTGGCTTAATTTGAAAATCTTGCTAGGAAATCATGGGAAAATGGAAAAAATGTGTGCTTATATCTCATCCTGCAGATTAACAGTTTACGCACAGCTCAAACATCTGAGCACATATGCTGCTGATGCAGTTCTGAAGCAGCTGGTGGAGAAATCTCCTGTTATAAATGTCTGTCTGTCTGCATTTTTATAGGATATCCTGTTAAGCCATAAAGGCTTGTTTACTTGTAAGAGTCATGCTATATATGGTGTGTAATCTGACAGCTGACTTCCATGCATAAAGGGAAGCATGACAGCTTGAGGGAACATGAAGAAATTTATTTTGATTTCAATAGAAGCAGCAGTCTTGCACAGCCAAGGACTAGAAGATAGTTATTTGAGGCAAAACTAATGAAACCGTAAATAGAATATAATTAAAATCATACAGGTAACATTGCATTTTAGGATCCTGACTCATGAGCAAGAAAAATTAAATTATTTTTATTGTATTTAGTTTAAATTTTTATGGATCTTTCTGTAATTTTTGTTAATTTGGCTCCAGTTGAGAATTTTGACATGTGTAAGTATCTGAATACTACATTCTGTGACTGCTTGTCTTTTTGCTTCCTTTCCCACTATCCACCTGTTCAAAATTTTCAGCTCTACTTAACAGTTGTTCAAGAGAGCTTTTGGAGGGAATCCTTCCCTGAATTCTTCCAGAGCTTTTTCTTCTTCTTCTTCTTTTTTTTTGCATCAGGCTATCCATGTAAATAATGCCAACTGGAAAAGTAAGGGAACCATTCAGTTCTGAAGTTGATGACTTAATTCCCCATTACATATGTGTGTTATACTTGTGTGGCACTTGAAAATCAGTGGCATATGCCCCACTGATCTTACTTTGGAGTAATAAGCTTAATAGTCCTTTTTGATGGAATTGTATCTTAAGGTTAATGCTGCATAAACTTAAACTGTGGCTATTTCTCTGTAAAGCTACAGACTTTATTAACACTAGTATAAAGCTAACCTATCACAGGGCCAATCTAGGCCAGTCTGCATTGATAGTAGAAACTAAACTATTGCCTGCTTTCATTTCCTGCTAAAATTGAAACAGCTGTTTTGTAATAGATTATTTTACTTAGACAAGATATTTTATAAATCTTTTAATGATTCAAAGACCCTAGCATATAGTTGGGTAAAAAGAGTTAGTTTTACTGTGTCCTAAAGATCCAAGGGGGCATGATACAGATGATAGCCCCATCCCTGTGGGAAGTGTAACTGAAGCTACAATATTGATCATGCATCAAAATATGGAAACATGCTTTCTTATATAGTATATATGTCAGTATTATCCAGGTCTAGTGAGATTTGCTGGTGCTGGTGAGAAGCAGTATTTACGAGAAATATTTGAGCAGAACAGGCAAACGGTGAATTGCTGTACTAATTTCTCTAGAATAGCAAATATGTGTATTCTTGTATGTAGATGGGAGGCCACCAGGGCTGTAGCTAAACAAGAAAAAGAAAACCAAATCAGAATAATTAAGAACACTCCCAAACCATTTCAGTATTGTTGACAAGAATATTACATGGATGTGTTCATTAGGTCCCCAGGAGTTGAGCTTGACTTGGTAATTGTACTTTATGTGATATAATTATTAGTCCTAGAGTTAGTTGTGCCTGAGGAGGCAGGAAAGTTTGGGATAGGTGGAACACTACAATAATTGGGCACTTATTCCAAGGAAAGCAGAAGCCAGGCCCCAAATGTATGTGAATAATCTTCTCCATTAAATTCATTCATACTTTCTTTCTCAAAATGTTCCTTGTGAAATGTTGCATCTGAAGAAAAGGTTCAAGTTTATTTTTGGAAAAGGGTATTAATATTCCTATTTCTATTATTAAAAGAAATTTATAAAACAAAAATAATAAAACTTTGTAACTAATTTTTAGTGAAGTATCAGTGTCTTGCAGATTTATTTTACATAGTCAGCTGAAAGAAACTGAAAGCATTTTATTAGAGCAATAGCGGAAGGTGAAAGAAGACTGCAGGCATTCCAGCACTGCTGAACCACTTAGCTTTTTTATCTGTGGAATGTGAACTTGCAAATGATACTTTAGAGGTATACTATAATTTACTATTTTGTAATAAGGACTGAGAAATAAAGCTTTAAACAAGCCGTTCTATTATACAATGTTTGCAGATATCTTAGAAATATGAGGGCTCTGGGTAAGTACACACAGAGGTATATGGGATGTTTGTGCAATATTTGCAGATATATTGGCTGGGGATCTTAAAAGACAGAAATGACTCCACCC